TTTGTGAAATGATTTGTGAAAAAGTCAATGAACAATATGCTACAAATTTTACTTTGAACCAAGTCCGTCAACAGTAAGTAGATCATTATTTACAATTTATTAATTAATCAATTATTTATTTGTTTTATTTGCTCACTTGTAATTTAGTTTGAAAGACGAGTTACAAGTAAAAATACCACAAAATAGAGGTGAACCCTTCACTAAGGAGATTGACAATTCTATTAAAGAATCTATGGAAAAGTTTGCTCAATCATCCAACCCATATGTGAAGGTTAGCGATAATATTAATAAACTATATGATACGAACTATACCTCAAAACAAATTCGTCAACGGTAAGAAAACTATTATTTACAATTAATTTATTATTTATTCATTTATTCATGTATTTTGATTCTATTGTAATTTAGTTGGATAAGTAAACTCAATACAGATCGTAAGTATAACTTCACATTTTCTTTTAATGTTATTCTTTTTAATTTGATTTGACGAAATTTTTTTTCAAATGAATATTCTTCTTCTCTATCTCCACTGAACATTATTTTTCTAGTTTGTCATGATTCTCTTAGTGAGGTTGAAAAATCATTTATCGTCCAATGGGTTGAAAGTAAACCACAAGGGGATACAATACCTTGGAAAGAATTAATTCCCTTGATGGAAACAAAATTCGAGAAATTGCGCTCCGAAAATATGGTAAAAAATTTCTGGAACCTACGAAAAAGAACTCAAGCAAGTACTGAATCGAAATCGGAAACCGATAACTCAAGGAAAAGAAAAAGAAGTCCTAAGTTGAAAGAGAAAAGTGAAAAACAACAAAAAAAAGTTTGTCATGAACTTACTACTTTTGAATATGAAAATGAAAAGTATATCAAATCTTCACCACCAAATGGAGATTCGAATGCAAGACCGATGGATACTTCACCCAAAAGTGAAGAGAATATCATTCATTCACCTCCTTTAAACGCAATATCGATGGAAACTTCATTCAAAAGTGAAGAGAGAATTTATTTACCTTCTTTGAACGCAAGACCAATGGAAATTTCATTCAAAAGTGAACCTTTGAACGCAAGTTCGATGGAAACTTCATTTAAAAGTGAACCTTTAAACGCAAGATCGATGGAAACTTCATTCAAAAGTGAAGAGAGAATTTATTTACCTTCTTTGAACGCAAGACCAATGGAAATTTCATTCAAAAGTGAACCTTTGAACGCAAGTTCGATGGAAACTTCATTTAAAAGTGAACCTTTAAACGCAAGATCGATGGAAACTTCATTCAAAAGTGAAGAGAGAATTTATTTACCTTCTTTGAACGCAAGACCAATGGAAATTTCATTCAAAAGTGAACCTTTGAACGCAAGAACAATGGAGACTTCATTCAAAAGTGAACCTTTGAACGCAAGTTCGATGGAAACTTCATTTAAAAGTGAACCTTTAAACGCAAGATCGATGGAAACTTCATTCAAAAGTGAACCTTTGAATGCAAGACTGATGGAAATTACATTCAAAAGTGAAGAGAGCATTCATTTATCTCCTTTGAATGCAAACTCGATGAAAATTTCATTCAAAAGTGAACCTTTGAATGCAAGCCCGATGAAAATTACATTCTTAAACACAAGACCGATTGAAATTTCATTTAAAAATGAACCTTGAACACAAGACCGATGAAAACTTCATTCAAAAGCGAACCTTTGAACGCAGGCCTGATAAACTTCATTCAAAGTGAAAAGAAAATTCATTTATCTCCTTTGAACGCAAAACTGATGGAAATTTCATTCAATGTGAAATTGTTAGAACTTACTTTAATTGTTATTAAAAATTTTTTCCTTTTTGGATTTTTTTAGTGATATTAATGGTCTATGATTTTTTACTATTATTTTATTAGAAAGCGAATGTTCTGCTGGCACTTAAATAAAAAATAATTTTGTTTGATAAAAAATTTTTTTTTTTACGTGATATCAAATATATTGATTCGAGTTTTTCAAACAAATTATTAAAAAGGTAATGAATTGAGACTTACTCTCAAGTGAAATATCTTGATCATTCAATTCAAAAAGTAAACTTGTAATAAATTAAATAGCACAAACCTATTAAAAATATTATTTAATCGTATTAAATCGTATTAAAAGAAAATAAAGATCACAGTCAGAATTCGATAAATAATAACTATGCGTATAGCAGATTTCACGTTAAAGATGACAAGTTCTGATTCTGACTTTATGTTAAATAAAAATCAGATTTCCTACCCAATAAGATGAAATCAAAAATAAAATATCTACAGTAATTCAGGTCCGAAGCATATCAATTTATTTACATCACGTGACATGTACATGAAGACGTAAACTATCTAATTGGTCGATAAGCATGCGGGACAGAACGACATTGCAATCCTACGCCGCTACGCTTCGGACTAGTGCTTCGATTCGGATGAAAACTTGAATATTTTCATATGACGATTATGGCTGAGAAAGATTATGAATTTCAGATTTAAACAGACTATAATTTAAACCAACATTAAAGTATTATTATCCCAAAAATTTATACTAATTCTGGCCAAACTCATAGTGTCAGCGAAATTTAATGAAATTCAATCCGGATGAAAATCCGGATAAAACCGCTACGGATCGAAGCACTACTTCGGACAATAAAGAAATTACACTTTTGTTTTTAGAAAATCCAAGAAAAAAGAAGTATGCTTTTTAGTTAACATGTTGAACAAAAAATTACTTAAAAAAGTAGTCTGAACATATTGCCTCAAAGCCATTCCAAGATCCTTCCTGAAAAAGAGAATAAACGAAAATGACCCTATGAACATACCACAAACTCGTTCAAATTAGCCATAGAACTCAATCTTAGAATAAAGAATAAACGAAAATATCCTATTAGTTTCCTAGGGACTTAAACTGAGAGACATTCCTTCACTAGAGCAATATGACAATTTCTTGTGACTTATTTATTTTGATTAGTAATAAGTTAACGTTAATATCAAGAAGAAAAAAATCAATCCAAAATCCTAAAGTTGAATGAACAAATATAAAGATCTTTAGATTGTTATTTGTAATATATAATGTTTTGAAAATTACATGTAAAGTTAGCGTTTATGTTTTACGATATCGTACGGAAGAAATTCGAAAATTATGTTTGTTGCGACAACTCCTAGAATTAATTAGTAGTAGACTTTATGTAAGCTTATAATTACTATTGTTATATGAATTTTTTTTTTAAAAAAAAAAATTGAATAAATAAATAATTTTTATATTACGTCGAGTTGTGAGTACATATAAATAAGAATTATTATATTTTAATACTACTGGGAAACCTTGCATGTCACAATTGTCATATTATCAATATAAACAAGTTAATAATTGACCACTAAAGATTCCTTCATTAAAATCATCAAAATTCTCACGAAATAATCCAATTAAAATTCATCAAATTGTTTTAAATCTGAAAATTTTATTTAGCTTTTCTAAATTCCCATTTAAATGAATTTTTATTTCACTCAGACCATCTTATTTTTTAAGATAACTTGATAATAGAACAGCAGGTAAATTAACGAACATTATGTGTAAAGCAACAATACTTTCAACAGTTGGTAAATAACATGAAATTTTGGTAAAATGAATTGCCTTAACAAAATTTTTTGAATATCTAATATTTAATGTTCAAAATACTATAATGAATATTTTTATAAGTAACTTTATCCGCGAATTATTTAATTTAGATATTGGTTATCACATGTTTAAATTTCCAATTTGAAAGAAAACAAAAAAAATTATTACGAAGGTTAGTACAGGATTGTGAAAGTACTATGAAAGTAGTTAAGAAACTTAAAATCAAACTGTATTTCCACAGACTAAGATAATTGTGCAAGAAATCGCACGTAAAAATGGTTGGGAAAAGTGAGATTTACGATTGATCAGATTATCTTCAATGTTTTTTAATTTTGTTAACTACTTTAATAAATTAGTGGTATGATGACTTTCCAAACACGTGACTACAGTGATTAGTGATTTCATAGTTTATCATCACAAAAAGTTCGTCACCTAGAATCGATTTATCATACAATTGAAATTCAAATTATTATTAAGAGGGAGTCGAGATGAATTAACAATTTAACATTAAAGAAATTTCATGAATTGTGTGATGATAAACCTAATACTGTTACTTTCATTGAAGTAAAAATTCTATCTTGGTGGATATATAAAATCCTTTTAATATGGCAATCTTTTTATATTTAGAGTCGAACTAAAAATAGTTTCGTCCAAATGCTGGTCCATATTTTGGTTCTGATCTCATAATACATTCATCAGATTCGCCGAACGGAGATTTTATATGAGTTGGTGCAGAAATCACGAAAAAAAAGATGAGACATTGAAGCAAACTTTACAATGGAAGATTTCGAAGTATTCTAAATCCTTTAAATATTGATTATTTGTAAATTTTGTTGAACATTCTTAGTTTAGTTTTATTCTTTTTGGCCGTTATAACATTTATAATGATAACTTTTCCCGATTCTGACCAATTTCTCTCTTGTAGGATTCTCTTTTTTTTTCTCCGAATTTCGATATAAACTGATTATCAAAAAATAATTCTTCCTAGTTACAAATAGGGTTCAGCCGGCACTATCAACCACGTGATTCCAGTTCTGACTAGAGTCAAGAAATTTCTGACTTGAGTGCGAGTTCAACTTGAGTTAACTCGAGTTACATAAGTGCAAATAGTTGTAACTTTACTACTTATGCATTTTTTTACGTGTAAACGTAAATAAATAATATGATGTTAAAATTATAGCAACTAGTGAGAATTTTAAGATTTACAATTTAGACATAATTATAATCTTTATTTCAACAAATTGTAATAATAAATAATAAATAAATTTTCTATAAAAAAAGAAAAATAAATAAAATAACTTAATAAAAACAGAAAAAAAAAATAAAATAAAATAGAATAAAAATGATAAAAAATTTATTTAGTAAGATCTTCAGTTGCATCTTGTTTCCTTGGATTTATTGGATTACTTCTAAATCTTATATTGATACTGAATTGGCCAAAACAATTATTAAAAGCAATAATAGAAAACTTTTAATTGTACCTTTAAATTTCATTTATATCAAACTCATATTCTTTTGTAATATATTCTAAAGAAAAAAAACCAAGTAATTAATAAATTCCTTTACGTACTGATTAAAAAAAATAACTTAATACCTTTATTGCTGATTGATTCTTCAATAAGTTTATTATCTAAGATGATAATAATTATTAAATGTTAAAATGTTGTAAATATTGTCCAAATTTATATAAAAAATAATGTTTACATACTTGGTTTCATATTAAACATTATAATTGAGGGTGAACCAGTTAAAGTATTTAATGATCTGCTTGTATAAATTGCTTTTGGATGAGGTTTTTCATTAAAATCTCCAAGCATTTTTGATTTTATTAATTCTAGTCTTATTTCTTCAGCTTGATTAAAATATTTGGCATCAATTCCCATATTTGACCAAGAATTAAAAATTTCACAAACATCCGTTGCTGATGGCCCATTTCCCTACCATCCTCCCGTGTCAGCATTGAGTCCAATTCTTGATTTAAAGCCTCCTGATTCACAATTTACCAAATCAACACCCACTTCAAGCTTAGCTTTGACGCCATCAGTAGCATTTGCCGCAGCTTTTGCTCCAACTCCTGTACTTAAAACTTTAAGATCTGTATTTCATCACAGTATCTGTATACTGAACTACCAATCTTTACTTCTGAGGACATCTCGATATATTATAATATATTTGAAGTTTGGATTATTTTAGATTTTTTTTTCTTTAAGAGTGAAATATGTTTTTGAAGCTTTTAGTCTGAAAGGGTTCGTATTTGATATGCCTTTATATTAAAAAAAATTTTCTCTCATCGATCAATTAGGTTGATCCATTTACAATCCAATTTAGAATAATAGAACACGTTTTAATAAATTTTAAGAATCATTTAAGA